GGACACTGGAGTCCTAGTCCTTAGCCTTCGAACCTCTGGCCGTCCTGGAAATGTCTGGGAGGGTGCCTCTTTCCTCAAGGATTCAGTGTTCATTGTTTCCACCAAGAGGAGGAGGGAAGCCGTTCATAGAAGTCCCTGAATGTTGGGTTGAGGACTAATATGTCATATTTGAATTAACTATGGTAGCACCATCAAGAGTCCTCTCTAGGCAATCCAAGCAACGCAAATCAAGAACCATAGCGATATTCAGATCCTTTAACCCAGAACTGCAATCCAAGGAACTTAGGTGGAAGTCATTTTTTTTTTTAATTTTTTTTTTCAACGTTTATTTATTTTTGGGACAGAGAGAGACAGAGCATGAACGGGCGAGGGGCAGAGAGAGAGGGAGACACAGAATTGGAAACAGGCTCCAGGCTCTGAGCCATCAGCCCAGAGCCTGACGCGGGGCTCGAACTCACGGACCGTGAGATCGTGACCTGGCTGAAGTCGGATGCTTAACCGACTGCGCCACCCAGGTGCCCCGAAAGTCATTTTTTTTAATGGGAAGAAACCAAGGATACAGCAATGTCTATAACAGCAGTAATAGGCATTAATGACATTGTGCTTTGGGGCTTTGAACATATATTCCTATACTGACAGTACTTATGAGAGCTTTGCAACATTCCTGTGATGGATGTTCTTATGCCCATTTCACAGATGGGAAATGAAAGGTTAGAGAGGTCATGTGAGTGGTCCTGGTTCACCCTGGCAGGTTCAGGCTCTGAACTCTGATACATGCATTGTTGCCTGGTGGGTTTGTTCAGAAACTCTGAAAATGATGGAAGTCAAGAAAGCATATGGAGGGAACCAAGACTGAAAATTATTATCGAACTTAATGTATGCTTAGTTGTGTCCCAAGCATTTTGTAAATTTTATCCAGGTTAATCTTCACCACAAACTTGAGGGGAGACTGAAGCTCTGAGAGGTTGGAGAACTTGTATAAGCTGTAGAACAGGATTCAGACCCTGGCTCGGCCAGGTGGCTTCAGTTCTGTTGTATTGTCCCTCTGCTTCACAAGAAAGCATTGTTGGGTGAGTGAATACATGGTAGGCTGATGCCACAGCTCTGCATCTTCTCCAATGCAATACATTCTCTCAGTACTCCCATGAGAGTTGCAGCTTGGCTGACTCTTGAGGGCACACTTTTCCGACACCCTTCACCTAAAGGCTCTCTTTCCTCACTCAACTCATCTCTTGCAAAATGCTCAGAACCGAATGAGTCCAGGGTAAACCAGGCATGCAGGGTGTGAACCTTTAGCAACCGAAGGAAATTGAGCTATTTCAACGTGATGCAATATTCTGCTGCCATTAAAATGATAAATGTGACTGTAGAAATATGAAATGGCATTGGGAAATAGTTGCACGTATCTGAAATAGTAATGGAAGCAGTGTGCATTGATGTGAATAAAGGTTGGGAGAGGACAGGAAGGAAAACTGTGTAAAGGTATTGGGATTGAATGGTGTCACCTTCTGATGGGTCTGCTAAGCTAGGAACCTCAGGGTCAGGTTCCACAGCTCCCACTGCTACTTTGCCCAGATTCAGCTAGTCACAAACTCCTGGAGATTCGACAGGAGTATCCTAATTCTGGTGCCCCTTCTCCCTCTCCATTGCTAGCTTCCTAAACCAGGCGCTAATTATCTGTCAGCTGGACTGTACAAAAGCTTCAGTGGTCTGTGGACCTCAATTCTCCTTCCCACCATAGTCCGCATTGGACACTGTCGTCAGAGTGACCTTGATATAAAACGCATCTCCCCTTGCTGAGAAGTTTCTGTTTACTTGTTATTGCCTTCAGGAGGCAAGTTCAAACTTCTTAGCATGGTGTTTGAGGAGGTCCTGCACAGTCACACTCACCCAACCTTACCTCCAGCATGTCATAAACTCCCCTTCCTCTCTGCCCATGTGCCTTTTCTTCTCGTCCCCTCCCCCAGTCTCTTCAAGACCAAGTGCGTCCGGTCTGAAGCCTTCACAACTGTCCCAGGGATTGTTGGTTCTTCCACTCTCCTAGATGACAACGAATGATGCTGTGTTGTAATTCTGAGGTTACAGCTCTTTCTCTCATGAAATTGTGAGCCCTGCCAGGGCAGGTACCACACATCTGTTGACCTCCAATCTAGACCCTCAGCATGGTGCCTAGGACGCAGTAGGGTGGCAAAATTGTGTATTGATGGAATGAATCAATGAGTAAGTGAAACAATTTGTTTATAGTGTTTAAATTTTTTTTTTAATGTTTATTTATTTATTTTTGAAAGAGACAGAGTGTGAGTGGGGGAGGCTCTGCTGCACAGAGCCTGATGCGGGGCTCGAACTCACAAACCGTGAGATCATGACCTGAGCTGAAGTCGGACGATTAACCGACTGAGCCACCCAGGTGCCCCTTAATGTTTTAAAGTTGATTTAGTAATAAAGTTTTCAAAGGAAACAACATTTAAAGAAGAGATCAGGAACTTCTGAAATTTACAAAAGCAGAGTCAAGTTTATAGAAATGCAGAAACACACGGTGGAGTTGACAGATTGGGTTTGAATCCTGGATCTCCTACTGAGTCTTGGTTTCTTCATTTATAAGGGGGATGTCATAATAGTACCATATAGGGTGGTTGTAAAAAGCAAAAGAGGAAAAGCAAGCAAAGTGCTTAGTACAGTGCCTGGCACATTGGAAGGACTAAAAAAAAAAAAAAATGCTAACAAGCCACAGTGATTAAATCATCGAGAGCCTGGGGTTCTTATGTAAACCTCTTTTTTTTTTTTTTTTTTTTTTTTGGCTCCTTCTGGCTGGTTTTTTTTCAACATAAAACTTTGAAAGCTTTGACCTCAGCTGAAATGGGATTACATTCACGCAGGGTGACAAAGAAAGGATTGAGGAAGGATAAGTTCAGCACTTCTTTGAAGGTCTTGTCTTCTGTTCCCTCTTTCAGGATATCCCACATGGGGTAGTATAGTGGTAGAGCTTACTTGTGAGTTCTGTCACAGGCCAGGGATCTAGGGCAGACAATGAGAAAGGTATCTCTGAAGGGGGTGCTCTACCCTCCTCACAGGATTCATCTTATTTTATGGTTATCATTCAACAACGGACGTTTCTTTGCTAGACTGTAAGCTCCCCCAGGCTGGTCTCATGTCTGTGTTGCTCTCCAGGGATAAAATTAGGACCAATGGATGAAAATTGTCGGGCATCAGATTTCTGCTCAGTGTAAAAGGAGAGGTTCCTCAAGAACCTCTGACCGTTGCAATAAGGAGAAGAGGCTGACCGTTGCAATAAGGAGGTCCCCATAATGGGAGATATTTGAGCTAAACTGGATAGGGTTGATACTATGGAAGAGATTTCTGCTTTTGTTGGGATATTGAGGTAGAGATGTATGGTTACTCAGAGCTCGTATTTAAGGGACTGGGCAGGTGTATGAACTTTCTTCCTCTGGCACAAATTGAGGACAGTGGATTTCTGTGGACCAGAATTGTTTAAGACTGTGTATCAGCATGTAAGAAAAACGGACCAAAGTTCTTGGATTGTGAAGACTGTTCTGTCAGCATCAATGTTTGCAAAATATTGGCTCCCTTAGTTTAACTGAAATTGATAGAGATTATAATATAGTATAGAACTCCTAAATTTTCCTAAAGTATGAAAATTAGGGTAAAAGTCTGAGGCCTATGACCCTTGCCTTCAGTGTATGCCTTCAAAAAGCCATCTCGCGGGGTGCCTGGGTGGCTCAGTCGGTTAAGCGTCCAGTTTCGCTCAGGTCATGATCTTGCGGTTCATGAGTTTGAGCCCCACGACGGGCTCTGTGCTGACAGCTCAGAGCCTGTAACCTGCTTCAGATTCTGTGTCTCCCTCTCTCTCTGCCCCTCCCCTGCTCGTGCTCTTTCTCTGTCTCTGTCTCAAAAATAAACACTAAAAAAAAAATTTTTTTTTTTAAAGCCATCTAATCTCTCTCCATGACTCTTAACACATTTCTATATAGTATGGCTAACACCGTGGAGTCTCCAGGTAATTCAAGAGGAAGACAAAAGACTAAATAAGGGAAGGGCTGCCCTTCTGTATTTGGGGCAAGGAGTGCTTTCTTGGCTACCACATCTGGTAAGGCCTGGATAGTTCCTGGGATTTTACCTATTTGACCAGAACAAGAGTTCATAGTCAGGTTTTCATAGGTAGGCTTCCTGGGTCCATAAATCTCCTGAAATTGTACGCAAATTTGTGTGCATATGTGCATTTTTCTGGGGGAGAAAAGCCCCTACTTTTGTGGGATTTTCAGTAGGGGCCTTGACCCCAAAATATTTCGAACCATTTACTTCCATGGTAATTATCCGATCAAACTGAAAATATTCCAGGTAAAGGTAACATTGTAATCATTTACACTTTAGTGTTAATGAAAAAAATCTGTGTCATAGCAGGATTAGGATGAACTAGCTGGATGGAATGTTCTGTTTTTATATGTAAAGAGGGAGCATTTATGTTCCAGGGTGAAGAGAGATTCTGGAAATAAGATGCTGGGCCCTGGGCCACATCCAAATTCTCTGCCCCCCCCGCCCTGGACATTTTTGCCCAGAGCGTAACTCTGTAACATCTCATTTATCTCTTAGAGCCATGCGTGGCAAGGTACAAGTCTCAAGTGGCGCCTGATTTCTGTCCTCAGACTGATCATTTAACATCTCCCCAGGGTGTCTCCACGATACCATCGTAGGCGATAACGGTGCACCTCTAGGCTCTGGGGAGTCGGCCCGTTCTTCTGCTTTGCCGGGGAGCGGGAGTGAGGTTCATTACCTGGAGCGGGGGAAAGGCTTGCTCGCCAGCCCAGCCATTTGAGGCGTGGGGGGTGGTGGGATGTGGCAGCTTCGCTGAGTTCAGCACAAAGAGTCCTGATCGGCGAGTTCCGAGTTCCAGTTCCTGGTGTTTCCGAGTTAGCTGACCTGAAGCAGCTTACCCCCACCTCTGAACCTCAGTTTTCCCAGTGTAAGATGAGAAGATTGCAAGACTCTGACCCACCCAGATGCCATCTCGGCGCGACGATGCTGCTCCTTTAAGGAGGGCGGGGGGCGCGGAGGCGGTGGCCGCGCCCCCTTCCTCTCCTTCCTCCGGCGCAGGACCACCTGTCTCCGGCCTCGCCACGCCCCCTTCAGGAGGGGCGGGGGGAAGAGGGGCGGGGAAGGAAGGCCGAGGATTTACCTTGCGGGGCGGGCGCGCGACGCATGCGCACGGCCGGACAGGTCCGCGGCTCCCTCACTTCCTGGCATTTCCCCCCTCCCCCTCCTCGCCGTTACCCTGTACATCCGGGTCACTTGCCCTCCCCGTTCGGAGCCGCCGCTGCTGCTGCTGCTGTTGCTGCTGCTGCCGCCGTCGCCTGGCTCGTCGCGGCTCCGCCACAGGGGCAGGTGCGGAGGGGCTCCCGGTCCGGCCGCCGCCGCTGCCCCGCTCCGGGCCCGGGGCTCCCTCTAGCGCCGCTGAGGGGCCGCCGCCGCGGCTCAAGGAGGGCGGAGGAGCGGGGCTGAGAGAACCAGGAGGCTCGAGCGGAGAGTGAGTGATTTATTTTTACCGTTTTCCGTCTTCCCTCACGCCCCTCGCTTGCCTGCCCCTCGACCCCATTTTGGCGGAGAGACGGGCGCGGTGGGGGCCGCGCCGGCGCGGGGCTTCCTCGGCCCCCGGCGCCGTGGGCCCGCCCCGGCGCCCACCCCCGGCTTTGCGTTTGCCCCCTCCCCCTCCTT